AAAGGGATATTTGGAGATCAGCTGCATAAGAATCTCCTGATTCTTCTAGATTTAGTTATTCTAAGTCCCTGTGCACCTCAAATTGGGGAGATTAGCAGAGCATGCTTGGAGGGCATTCACTAGTTCTTTGGGGGATGAGGGGTTAATTTTCCCAAGAACAGACACAAACCTTTCTCCCATTTGTATTTCAAATGTCATCAATCTGTAATGCTCTTGTGGTTGACAAGAAGATCAGATCCACTTTGAAAATAATGACAGTTTGGAGAAAGTTATTCTGCTTAGGAAGCTTACCACGGCTTTAAATGTAGAAGTCACCATACAACTTGACAGTGACAGGAGAAGCCCATATCTTCCTGACCTGTACGTTACATTGCTGCAACAAAAGCAAAACGTGTCCCTACATGTCTGCCTTCTAGAGTTAGCCCAAATTGGAATATCCTTTAGTTTTTACAAAGGTAGGGAACCATGAATTTTAAATGCATTCTTCTGAGTAATATGCCCATCTGACATGACCCATCTCCAGATTCTTGTCCCTCTGGACATCTAGCAGACAGGCAGCTAGAGGATAATTAAGGACAAAAGTTGCTTTAATTATGATTGCCTTTGCTTTTATCCATCTTAACAAAGCAGCTTTAATAAGCTCTATGTTAAGTGTCTCTTAATGTCAAATGTCCACAGATATTTGTTGTTACAATCTCTAATCACATAGCTGTAGCTGTTTCATACAGATGGTAGACAATAAAGATGTGTCTCTGTTATTTCTTTATGGTTTGTCAAATTGTCACCCAGCTTGGGTTTACTTGGGATATAAGATGTTCTGGGCTTGTTTCTCAAGATAAGCTTCATTTGAGAAGTAGGGATACGTGAGCAGTGGTTTTGCTACCATTTTTCTTCTTGTTTCCTCTAATTATAACTGCTACCATTTATGCTGTCAGAAAAGGCAGAATGCATTAAGGTCTCAAAAATATTTTTTATGCTGATCATGCTAGTGATTGTAGAACTGGATGTAGTTCATTGTAGAACTGGATGGATAGCCACTTTCAAAGGAAGAAAAAAGAAACTTTCATTGCAGAATAAATGATAGAAGGCACCTGTCCTTCTAAAGTACTTCATGGGATAGAAACATTGATTTTTAACAATGTATTTAACACAAAATGTTGAAAATTAAACATTTTAACTGTTGCTGCATTTTATAACTGATTTAATTGACTATGCCATTTGAGACATGAACGACATTTACACTGACAAAGTTCACAATGAATTCAGCTGCTGGCAATGTAAGCATCCCCAGTCATTTATTCATCTGCGTGTTTCCAAGAAGCAAGGTTTCTGCTTTTACAGATGTGATGGGAAACTGTGTCTTTTTTTTATAGGATGATATCTATGTCTCTTTTTATCTGTTTATTTCTGACCATTACAGAAGTGCACCTGAAGGCTATTTTCAAGAACCTGACTCAGGTTCTTGTAAATAGTTCCCTTAGAGCAGATAAGAGTGAAACAACAGTAAATGATCAGTGTTTATAAATATGTACACAATGTAGAGTTAATAGTAATAGAATAATATAAAAGCTTACTTAAGAAAAAGTATAAGGAAAACAAGATACAAATACAAAGAAAGGATAAGAGTAGAAAGATATCACCACTCAGGGATCCAGTGACAAGACTTGACTGTTGCAATTTCCATGTCTGTTGGTCAAAAGTGGTGGTTGCCGCCTTGATCTATCAGCCATGGGGAGAGCCGGTGAAACACAAATTTCTATGGGTTAATATAAGCTCAGACTATCACACAGGTACCTCCTCTGGGGGGAAATTTTACTCTGTCTTTTGCAACACTGTGGCTGTGTGGATCATGGGCAGTCCTCAAGAATTTAGTTTTAGCATGCATAGGGAGGTCTTTGGTGGTATATGACAGATCTAAAATGTGATAGCTACAGCTGCCTCTCATGTCTGTGTAGCTGAATCAGTTATCCCCCATCAGAAGGGATGAAAAATGTGAATGTTCCAATACCTTCCCCAGCTGACAGTGCAGGGGAAGAGTTTTACAATTGAGGCACTTGTGTAATGGACACTGGCATGGTGAAAAGCATTATCCAACCCCACAGGATCTGCTGCTTATGAGCCTTTTCCCTTACCTACCTCCAAACCTAGCTTCTGCTAAACAAATGTTCTGCCATGGTTAATCGGTAGAGCTCACACCCTCTGCACCAGGGCTGTTACTGTGCTCATCCTCAGCAAAGCGCCTGCTGCTTTTGCAAATGGCTGATCGAGTCATTGACCATTAATATTTCAGTCTCTTACAGTGACAAATGATTGATTGATTATACCATTGACCTTGGTATAATATGAATAGTACATTCTTCATAGAAGAAGTGAAGAGTGGAAACTGGAGCATCTACATTTTACAAATAATTCCAATAGTAAAGGAGAAAGTTGAGCATCGCCTGCCAGAGTTTTTCAATGAAAACAACATACAAAATCTCCCGCATAATCAGTGAAAGATATATCAACTTGAGTTTCAAGAGATAGTTTTAAATAAGAATTTTCCTTTTTGGATGAAAATAAAACAAATATTTTTAAAATACTTTTGATCGTGGCCCAATTAGCGCATCATGATTACGCCACAGTAATTTCTTCATTCTAACTCTGAGACTGGAATACATCATTTTGTGATGAGGGGTCCCATGCTGAGTCCCACTCTAGATGAAGTTACTTCCTTCCTGTGAGTTAGAGAAGCCTTGGGAAATTAACCTTGCTAAGCCAAAGCTTACTTTTGTGAGTCCAGTCTACAAGTGCTTTTCTGACGTACCCAGAAAGAAAGTGGTGCTATAAATTATTTCCCTAATTTTCTGTGCATTAACTGTCTGTGAACACAAACTGTAAGTCACCTGGGTACCTCTGAAATTTATACTCATATAAATATACTCATAAAAAGCTTCCAAGAATCACCATTTTCTTATACTCAGGCATAAAGTCTCAATCTTGGCCAGCATGGAAAAAGCAGCAGTTAGTCCAAATCAATCAGTAGAAATATTCAAAGTCAGAAAATACCAATTAGAGGAGTCTACTTTTGAAGAAAACCTTCAAGGTACCTGTTGATCTCTAGTGATAGACACAGAGGCAGTAATCACCAAAAGACACCTGTAGTTCATGACAAGTATTTACACTAGGCAATCCTGCATTTTCAAGACATTTTTACTGGTCATCTCAACTTAATATCACCTTGTACTAAAGAATAAGGACTGATTGTGGATGTGAAGATTGAAGGCAGCCTTGGTCCCAGTGACATTTGATGGTGGTCTTCAGGATCCTGCATGCAAGAAGGAAGGTGGTAAGTAGGATTACAACCCCAAACTTCAGGAGAGCTAACTTTGTTTTATTGATGGTCCTACTTGGAGAAATTCCACAGGTTAGGGCTCTGGAAGAGAGATAGTTAATATTCAGGTTTCATTTCCTCCAAGCTCAGTATCTGTGTATTTCTCTAAGTAAGAACTCAGGGGTCAGGAGTCCTGCATAGATGAGCGAGAAGGTTCTGGCAAAACTCCAACAGAAAAAAGTGTACAGAATGTGGAAAAGGGACAGGGCACTTTGAATAAATATAGGAATGTTGTCAGAGTATGCAGGAATGTGACAAAGAAGGCTATGATCCATTTGGAATGAAAGCTGTCAAGAGATGTCCAGGACTACGAGAAGGACTTATTCAATTGTATCAGTAAGAAAGGGAACACTAGAGAAAATGTCAGCCCACTGCTGAATGAGGTTGATGTCCTGGTGATGATGAATACAGAGAAGGTAGTTACTGAATTTTCTCCTAGTCTGAGCCTTTACCATCAAGTCTGGATGTCAAGAATCCCTGTCCCATGAGACCAGGAATCTCTGCAGGAACGAGGATTTTCCCTTTATAGATTAGGATAGGGCTAGAGATCAATTAGGAAAACTTGATAATGTCAAATCCATGGGCCCTGATGGAACACATGCATGGGTGCACTCTCCAGCATGTTTGAAAGGTCATGGAAAGCTAAAAAGGTGCCTGAGGACTGCAGGAAAGCCAATGTCACTTCAGACTTCAAAAGGGCAGAAAGGAGGATCCTAGGAAACTACAGGACAGTGAGCCTCACCTCAATCCCTGATAAAGGGGTGGAACAGCTGCTCATTCTGGATGCCATTGATCACATGAAGAAAAAGAAGGTTAACAGGAGTTGTGAACATGGATTCAACAAGGGGAAATATTGTTTGACCTATGCAATCCCCTGGAATGGCTGCCTGGTAGATGAGGAGAATGTTAACCTTGATTTCAGCAAGGTTTTTGATTCCGTTTCCCACAACATGCTCATAAGCAAACTTAGGAAGTGCAGGCTGAATGAGTGCACAGTGCAGTGGATTAAGAAACAGCTGAATGGCAGGTCCCAGAGGACTGTGTTCAGCCACAGAGTGTCTAGTTGGAGGCCGGTGACTCCTGGTGTATCTCATGGGTCAGAACTGCCAGCTGTAGATGGGATTTTGGATTTTTAATTATCCAAAAGTGTGAAGAATGTTTGACAAATTTTATCAGAACATTTCAAAGTTTGTGCAGGGAGTTTTATATTGTAGATTAAGGATCACTATATCTTATTTGAATTACTATTTAACTTTAGCAATATTCATTAGCAAGAAATTATATGTATAATCAGATGGATTAGCAAAATCAATGAATTCCAGTAGTCCATTTTAAAGACTCTTTTTAATATTGCTTTCCATGCTAAGAAAACTGAATGCAATTCTAATTCATTATATATAAGACTTTTGATCTAAATAGAGAATTTTCTTTGAATTATATAGCTGCTATTCAGGCTAATTTATACAAGACAGATTTCTTAGATGATAACTCTAAGTGTACTAGCCTGGCTAGTACAGTGGAAAAATTTTCATGAATTCTCTAAAGGGATGAAGGAAAGAGAAAGCAGAAGATAATAAGGTGACCCATTATAGTTGTTATTGGCAGGTGCTTTAATTCAGGTCTGATCTTTAGAAAACTTCATAAGCTTAGAGATATCCCCACTGACTTCTGAATTAGAATGTGCAAGATAAAAGCAAATGCATTTCTTTAAGCATTACCATGGCAACATTATTAAAGTTATGTTAGTTAAGACTGCAACAATGTTTCTATTTTTAATAAAACAAAAGTGCTTTCTCCTCTTTAGTAGTCCATATAAAATGAACCATTACAGAAATATTTACTTCAAGTCTGCCTCAAAATTAGAGATTATTATCTCAAGTAATGTTCAATCATCGCTGACATAGCATAAAATCTTTGGAAACTGATACATTGTATTAAAAATCTAACACCCTAAAATAACAGATCTAAATATTTTACATACAACTGATCCACAAGCAGTAATGAAAATTCCAATAAATAATCTCATTTGGAATGTAAAGCTAATATACTTTTCACCCATTCCAGCAGCTGCTACAGAAGCATACCTTTATGTATATATATACACTGGGTTGCCTAGGTAAAACTTTCAGTATTATTTGCAATTTGCAGGTACTCAAAAATAGGCAATCCTATTTCTGCATGTAGCAATGCATGACAGGTATGTTTTATTTTTATTCTAGATTATCAGAACTTTTTTTTTTCACTTTGCCTAAATGTCTCCTAATATTAATGCCTCTTTATTCCCCAGGAGATAATACCCTAAAATATAAACATATATTTGTTAATCATGAAAGGAGCAAGAGTAGAAAAGTACTAAAAAGGAGATAGTTGAGTGAAAGTGAGATCGATATGGTCTCTGAATTGTCATCCTTTCAGTGTTACACCAGCATTTTAATGGATGAAAAATTAATTTACATATGTTAGTTAGGCAGTTACTTGGAAGTAGAAATGCGTACAAAACTCACAGTGAACTGGAATCACAGATGTCCCCAATATTCTCATTTGCACAATTCTTAGATATGTTTCCTCTGCCTTTTCAGATACCTTTAATGGAAAACGCACTAGGAGAATTTGCCATAAAGTTGCTGTGTCAGCCAGAATGATTGGCACATGATGCCCCCTGCCTTTCTTCTTGCATATACTTACTTCATCCTGGAAGGCATTCTAGGCTGCAAGAGAATTGGAAACAAGGTATTACTTGTAATCAGTCACAAATTCTTGGCAAAAAAAAGAGAACAGTGAGTTTTTTGCTTTAACTTATTTTTCTTTTGGTGCTGTGCCTTCAGGAAGGGAGAAGCATTCATTCAGGCCTTGTATAAATACAAAGTGCTTCCTATTCCCAGAAGTAATAAATGCTCATTCTGAACCAATTTATTGTAGTCAGCCTGAAATGAATAGCTTCTTCTTAATGCCAAAATCTTCATTTCTGAAATCAACTCCACATCCTCAAGAAGTGATCCTTTTGTTGCAGTGAGATGTTGATCTGCATGTTCTCATTTGAAATGACATTGCTTCTAAATGTGTCCAAATTTTCAGAATTTAGAATCACATCCAAAGATGATTTTTTTTGTGTGTTGCTTTGAGTTAATGTCCTGGTTTCACCTAGAATAGAGTAAGTTTTTGTTCTAGTAGCTGGTACAGGGCTGTGTTTTGGATTTAATATGGTATTAATGATGACACACTTAGTCTTTGTTGTTGCTAAGTAGTGCTTACTCTAAGTCAAGGACTTTCCAGTTTTCCATGTTCTTCCAGTGAGCAGGTGGACAAGAAGCTGAGAGGGCACATGGACAAGACAGATGACCCAAACTGGCCAAAGACAAATTCCATGCCACCGAATGTCATGTTTAGTATATAAACTGTGAAGAATGACCAGGAGCTACTGATCGGCCTTTGCGTCAGTCTCCAGTGCTGGGTGATTGTATGTGCATGGCATATCCTGGACTTTATTTATCTTTCTTCTTTTGTGTTGTCTCCCTTTTCATTATAATTGTTGCTGTTGTGTTTTTTGGGTTTTTTTTTTAATTTTATCTCAATTATTAAACAGTTCTTAACCTATAATTTGTACATTTTTTCTGATTCTACTGACATCCCACCAGGGAGGGAGGCTGTGGGGAGCAGCTCTGGTGCCTAGCTGGAGCTTACATCATGACAGTTAACCAGATGTGAAACATAGAAGGGTATAATGATATTTCCATGAATGCAAGGTATCAGCAAGGATGAATTGTAGTAGGAAGAGTGAAACTCATCATTAGATAGCAAGGGTCTGTCTAATTAAAATTTACAAAGTGAAGAATGAATCATGCTCTATGATCTGGAATGCTGTGAAGTTTTAAAGGGGAAAAAAACCCCACACTTCTTTCAGCATGTTACCCAGGCTGCTTGTGTGACCTAGCAGGCACTCTCTGAGTCAGAGAACATTCTGAAAAGAAAATTTGTCCTTTAAAGTCTCACAGACAGCATATGGTAGAGGTGGGAAAGAAGGTATCAGATGAATATATGAAATTGAAGTTTTGATTCTTCAATAATAATGAATGGACAACTTCTCTCACCAATTCTTTTTCCAGTGATGTCCTAAGCTGAGATGTCTCAGAAAACAATGCCATATTTAAGCCTTATACATTTGAATTAAGCATGCTCCTCATTGCTAATAAAGCACAAAAATTGTGTGATACTGACTCAGTTCACAGTCCTTTCATTTACCTGAAGTATTAAATTATTAATAATTGCTCCTCAATTGTAATTATGAACTTTGGAAAGCTGTTGGATTAGCATTTAATGTCTGATGATCTATTTTCCCCTCTCTTGCAGAAGTGCAAGTGTCTCTGTAGGCCGATAATGAAGCACATCGTAACCTGGCAACCTTATCGGAATACTGAGGCAGTGTTCCCAGGGCTTTGTTTTTCCTAGTCTCGGGAAGAGACCTGGGGGTCCTGGTCAATGACAAGTTAAACATGAGTCAGTAGTGCCCTGGCAGCCAGGAGGGCCAGCCCTGTCCTGGGGAGGGAATTGTCCTGCTCTGCTCTGCACTGGGGCAGCCTCACCTTGAATATAGTGTGCAGTTGTGGTCTCCACAATATCGGAAAGGTATTGAACTATTAGAGAGCATCCTAAGGAGGGCAACAAAGGTGGTGAAAACCTTGAGGGAAAGCTGAAGTCGCTTGGCCTGTTCATCCTGTAGAAAAGGAGACTGAGGTGAGACCTCATTGCCATCTACAATCTCCTCATGAGGGGAAGGGGAGGGGGAGAGATTGATCTCTCTCTGTAGTGACCAGTGACAGGACCTGAAGGATTGACCCAGATTTGTGTCAGAGGAGGTTTAGCTTGGATATTAGATAAAGGTTCTTGCCCCTGAGGGTGTTGGGCAGTGGAACAGGCTCCCCAGGGAAGTGGTCAAAGCACCAAGCCTGTCTGAGTGCAAGAAGCATTTGGACAATGCTCTCAGGCACATGGTGTGATTCTTCGCAATGTCCTGTGCAGGACCAGGAGTTGGACTTTGATGATCCTTTTCAGACCTTTCAACTCAGGATATTCTATGATTCTAGTGGTTTTTATAGTTTTCTTGTCCCAAAAAGACTTATTGCAACAGGATTAATATTTTGAAACAGGAATGACTTGCTGCATCCAAGCAAAGACCCTCTGCTTAATATCTCTTATTCAGCATGATGGTCCAGAGCTGATGTCAGGGGAAAATACTACAACCAACCAAGTGGACAGCAATGCTTTCCCAGAACCCTCTCACAGATTTCAATATTTTCAGCTCAGGTACTTTGAAAATACATATGCTTGAATGTTATAGTCTTTTTGGATTTCATTGATTTGCCTAATGGCTTTTTACACTCATGTAAACTTTTAACAGTCACCTCATGTCATATCATGGAGCTCCATAGCTCACCTACCTATCATGGAGAGGACCACATTCTTTAGCTCCTTTTGCATAAGACTCTCAACAGTTTCATCTGGATCCTTACTCTTTTACCAGAAGAAATTTTGAGCTGCATCTTTGCCATGATGTGTCTGATTTTACAGGTCATTACATAGTTTCTTACACTATTTATTTTCTAAGCAAAGGGTCATACATTTCTAACCTCTTCCTTGTAGAAAAGTATTCTATATATTTGATCATTCTCTGAATTGTTTTTTGACCCTCCCTGAACTTTTTCTAGCTTTATCATTGTCTTTTTGTAAAGGGAGGAGTGTGGGAGAGGCAGACATTCAGAACAATGCACATTATCTAAGATAAAGGAGTACCTTGGATTAGAACAGTGCAATAAAATATTTTAATTAAATTAATTCCAAGATTTCACTTTAGATTACTAATAGCCTTCTTACAACCTAGTAGGTTCTACATTTCCAGCTAATTCCCTTGCCAACAATGAAATTAAATTCTGTTTGCTTATTGCAGTAGAGCACTATGGCAATGAAATCCTCCCACATGCTTCTGGAATCGTATGTAGAGCATATAATCAATACTGCTTGGTGTCCTTAGTAACACCTCCTTTCAGTTTGTGCTACCCACCGATCAGCCAAAAAGAAGGAATAATTGTTCCAGATGTTCACAAGTTAATGTCAGCAGTGTAACTAAGCTGCAACTAAAAGTGACCCAATAAGGTTTATTACATTTAAAGGAAATTATGGCTTTTCATGGGGAAAATAAAGCTCCTGCTCAGAATCTAATAGATTTTAGATTTTTTCAACTTTATTAATTTTATCAAGTCTGCATGGCCCAAATTATCAGCAGCATTTTCTGCTTAATTTAACTTGTTTCTATCACTCTGTTCTGTGAGTTTAAAAATTTTAAGTTCTGAACTGGTTTGTTCCTAACAATGTACTGTTTGCTTGTACTTATGTTATGGGGAAAAAAAAAAAAAAAAAGAAAAAGGATGATAAATCATGTTTTCTGAGAGGCATAAGAATTCTGTCTCAAATCTTAAGTAGCCAGAAACCAGAGTTTACACACTGACTCCCTGTCATTCCTAATGATGTAGCATGGTAGCATGTCTATGAATTCTTATCTTCCTCAGATCAGTCAGCAGCCACATGTGAACTCCATAACAGCTGCCAAGCTTAAAAAAAATGTTTCCTTTCTCTCAAAAATATATTCAAAATCAAGCCAGATGAAACTGCAGCCCAAAACGACTTCCAGTTTTGAGCACAGCTCTTCCAGTATTCTATTGAAATGCCTGCTTTCGATTGTTTCATAGCCAACAGTGTCCAGCCTGTCCTGTTTGGATGACAACAGCTCCTGGTGGTTTTGGGGGGGTTTTTTTTGGTTTTTTTTGGTTTTTTTTTTGTTTGTTTTTTTTTTGGTTTTTAAATGTGACTATAACAAAGGTTAGAATAGCCTTCAAAATTAAATTCTGCTGTTCCATATTCATTGTGTCACAGTGCTTTTTAGCTCAATTTCCCCAAACCCAATGTAAAGATAATTTTCCCTGACTGGAAGCCCTGTGAACACATGCAAGGATATGTGGGTCACTGTACAGCCATGTACTTGAAAATGCACTCACAGTAGTACAGAGCAGGACAAGTGGCAACCCTTTTTAAAAACTCAGTCTTTATAATGGTTTATCCCTGTAGTAGAATTAAATATTATGCATTATGTTTGAATATTAATGTAACTTATAATAGTGTGACACACCAAAGGAGGACATTTGAATAAAAATACCTCTGGTACTACTTTGAACTATAATTTAAAAATACCATAGTGCAGAATCATATAACTGCACAGTGGTACCTTACTCATAATTATGTCTTTCAGCCAGGTTTGTGTTGTGGACAGAAGCAATTAGAACATTACAGAAGGAAAGATGTTTTTAAAAACTTCTCTAACTCTGGCAAAAAGTTCCCATTAGGTTCAATAAGTGAAAGAACCTTGTGAACTCCTATAAATCATGGTTACTCAGAGGCAGACTCTGATGTATAATTGAAAAAGAAAAGGCACTGGCCAAATGCATATCCATGGGGAGAGCTGTGGTATGTTTTGCATCCCATTTTTTTTTTTTCAAACAAAGGACAATTCCATTCAACAAATTCAAGTAGCAGTAGGAAACTTTTATTCTATTTATTCTGTATATTCTATTGCAATTTATATTGCAATCTTTTATAGGTTTTGTTAAAATTGAAAAATTTAGAAAGTTATTTTAGTTCAGGTTTTGTCTAAGAACAACATGATTTGATCTTTACCCAAGGTGTAAATAACTTTGAAAGCTGAATTAATGTGCAATTTACCAACCTTGGTTATCACAAACAAAAATTCAGACCTCAGAGTTTGACAGTCAAATTTCAAAATGAAATTACATTTTACAACTCCGAATTCTTTACTCCAGAATAAAACAACTACCTGGAGTAATTATTTTCTTTAAGCCTTTTCCATGCTCTCAGCACATAAGTGAGTCTGATAGCAAAACCTGGGAACAAGACCCTATTCAAAATGTCAGGTTTTCTACAACCTAAAGTTTTGGTTTGTGATAACTAATAACACAAATATTTTAACTGACAATCTCTGTTAGGAGCACCATAACAATAAAACTTCTATGTGATATTACTTTATTGTATGCTAATGTCCAGTCCTGCCTTTGTGATACCTAGGAAATCCTGGAATCCTGAAGGGTACCAGGTTCCTTCAGGATCACCAACATCCTACCTGCCCCAGGTAGGATCTATCAAATCACCCTAGAATAAAGAGGGCTAATAGATCTAAGACATAAACTCACCTCATTTAATCCAGAAAAGCCATAGTGGTACAGAAGCTGGATGGTTGAACGTATCGGAGAAATGCATCTTACCTTCTGGGATTTAGGGAAAGATACAGAGAAATTTAATAAAAATAAGTAGGACAAAGAAAAAGTGGTAGCAGTAAAATCAGTAGTGCTGCTGCATTATTGAAGTTCTTTAATATCTTTAATATCCATTAGAGATTTACAAGTTCCAGAGATTATACAAGGAGATTCTACATTTTTTTTCAACTCATTTGACAGGAAACACATAATAAATGAATTCAGGTGAATTCAGATTAAAGAATTTTCCCATTAAAGAGTAAAATTATGTGATATTTAATGAATTGAGCATAAATACAGATGCATTATGAGAAAAAGTTTATTAAGTCACCCTAAAATGCTTTAACTGCCCAAATCCATATAATGACTGTAATTCCTGATAGTTAAATTTACTGAGTCATCATTCAGCTGTCTAATGGAATAGATAGCAGACTGTACCAGAGTCATAGAATGGTCAAATATGCTGAGTTGGAAGGGACCCACAAGGATCATTGAATCCAGCCCTTAGACTGCAAAGGATATTCTCTGCAGGGCCTCTGCACCTTCAAGGGAGTCATCATAACATGTGCCTTTCTGTGGCATTTTTAAGCCTTAAAAATAAATTATAAAGGTCAAAGTCAAAAATTTGTCTAAGTTGTTTCTGCTTTCCTCTAAGAAAAACACTAAAAAAAAAATCTCAACTGCAAATAATAAAATTATTAAATATTTAAACAAAAACCATTTAAAAAGCCCTTCTCTAAATCTTTTAATTATTTCAGAATTAAATATTAATCAGAGAAAGATAAGAAAGCTCTCTGTAAAATAATGAGATACACACTTTGTATGGAAACCAAAGTTTGCAAGCTCTAACAGCCCTAATAGTGGCTTTGTCCTGGTGAAACTTGCCATTTCAG